ACGTCAGCAGGCTCTCGATGGTTGAGCTGTAGAAGGCCAGCAGCAGCTTTCTGTCCAATTTGTTCTTCCTGAGGACTCTCAGGAAGTGTAGACGCTGCTGGGCCTTCTTTATGACATCTGCTGCTGATGTCTAAAAGTATGTTAAAGAATAAATGTTAAACCACTGATATCAAATATGAGCTGCTGACTCCACGTGCTATAGTTCCATATTTTAATTTCCCTCCAGCAGGTTCATTTAATCTCAAATCATCACATTTTTAGAACTATTTCTGCTCCTCCTCCTCGGCTGAATGTTTACAGCATAAAATCTGGATTTTTTTTAAAGATATATGTAAAATTTTAGTCATAGATTAGTTTTAAATATATCATATAGTTTCTGGGATACCATCTTTTTTTATTTTAACCTGCCCATTGATTCACTTTCAGCAGGTTTTTGTTCTCCCTCACATTTAAACTTGAGTCTGTTTGAACAACACCATCTGAGGAACTACCAAAGATGAAAACCTGAAACTTTCTCTGTTATTTCTCATCATGTCACTGATTCAGAATCTGTAATAATGATTAGGAATATCGGATTATGAGTGAGTTGAAATATAAACAACTAGTGATACGTTCTGATCCACAAGTAGCCGCAGGTCACAATAATACACAACTAAACATTAGAATACTTTAAACATGAAAAACTGTTTTAAAATGACATTTAACTGATCCTGCTCTTTTTTTCTAGACTTTGTTTGTTCACATTGTTGCTTATAAGTTGATGTAATTCACTGAAATCGCCTTGAAATCTCACATTTTCTTCACCTTGCCTTCAGGATTTTAAGCCTCCTCTCCGTCTGCTCAGCATTTGGGCAACTTGGTTTTTTAACTGCCAACTTCATAATTCTAAAGACTTTAAAAAGTGCTTCTGAATCCAGTAGAAATCCTGTTAGAACAAAGTGTGTTTAATGAGTAATCAACTTAAAAACTGGTGTTTATGCTACAAATCACAAAACTATTTTTAAAAAAATACCTTTTAGAGTTTTAAAAAAAAGCTAATTCTTCTTTCATTAGAGCACATTTTTATTTTGTTAATTGTACTTTGATAATTAATTTTGCAACCGTACATTTAGTGACGTGGTGGAGAACCCGACTCTGATGAGGAGTGGATTGATGAGAGTTGATGCTAACCGGTGATCTGTTGGTTTCCTCCACACCAGCAGCTCTGGACCATCTGCAGACTGAACTTGTTCGTCGGGATGTTTGTTTGTCATCTGCTGACCTCCAGTCCAGCGGCGTTGCTCATCACTCACCATGTCTCAGCTGGAGGTTCAGAGGTCAGACCGTGGCCTCACCGGAAACCTGGGAGACGGACCTGTTGGGCGGCAGGTCGACCAGAGGTGGCAGACCTAAAAATAGACCTCCAGGAGACTCCTCTGGACCAGTGAGACTAATTACAGCCTGCAGCTCCAATCATATATGAAACTATAGTTGACAGCAGAGTGCAACATCACAAAACAGCACAAACACTCAGGTCAGGACACAGACCTGTCCAGGGCAACTTATCAGTGACTTTAGACCACTTTAATGGTTTTGTACAAATTTCAAGTCATTTCAGACAATTTCTACTTTGTTTTGCTGTTTGTGTGTTCGGCCCTAAAAGTCTTTATTTCAACTTTTGCTTCTATTCTGAACATTCTTTTGTCATTTTGGACACATGTTGACTTATTTTAGATGTTTTTTGAGCCATTTTGGACAAATATGAAATACATTTGGACACATATTCCAAGCAATTTCTGACTATATTTGGGTAATTTTGGACACTGACATGATGTTGTTCTCTGGATGGTTCTCCTGTTCTCCAGCCAGTATTCTGGTTTATCCTCAAACATTTGGAGCATCTAGAAATGTCATCAACACCTATTCATGGATGAAGGTTCTGCGGACTGTTCTGCTGCTGAGGCCCGTTTACACTCAGAGGATGGACGAGACCAGAATCATTAAGTTCTGCTTCACTCACGGTTTAATTCAGCTGCTCTTGGTTCTGTTGGATCCAGCTCCTATCTGGACACATTCACACAGTTTACAGTAACTTTGGATAATTTAAACTCGTTTTGAACTCATTTCCAGTCATTCTGGATAATTTAAGTCATTTTTGAAACAAATTTCCGGTGGTTTTGGGCAAATTTCTATTAGTTTAGGTCATTTAATTTTTTTTTATGGACAGATCTCGAGTCATTCTGGGTGAACCTTGCACAGATTTTGGAGACATTTGAGTTCATTCGGACAAATTTGAAGTCATTATGGACAGTTCTACCAGTTCTGGACACATTTTGAACACTTCTGAGCAGCTTTAGACAACTTTTAGCTTGTTTGGAGTCATTTTCGGCAAATGTTATTTCATTAGGATGGATCATTAGGACATTTTAAGTAACTTGAGCACATTTTGCATCTTTTGGGACAATTTCTAATTTGATTTGGTCAAAATTTGAGTTGTCTTCTGCCCTCATGCAGCCCTGTATCATGATGCTGCCACCTCCGTGCTTCACTGTCAGGACCATGCATCCACTCTGGTGGTCCTGGTCAGGTTCACACCAAACATCTGGACTCCATCTGAGCCCAACACATTCATCTTCATCTGACCAGAGAATGTTCTCCAGCATCCATCAGGCTTCTGTTCATGTTCTGCAGCAAACTTTACTGGCAAAGACATGCAAGGACGACCACTGCAGCCCTGATCAGAGCTACTATGGCTCCTTCTAGACCTCCTGGTTACTGCTCACACTGGGCTGCACTGGTTTCTAGTAGCCCACTGATCTTCCTGGATATTTCCATCTTTGTCGATTCACTTTGGTTTGAACTTACGATAAAAACTTAATAAAAAAGCAGAAGCACTCGACTGTTAGAATAATATAGTGATCCTTCACAGGGGTCTTCTCACTTCTGACGGTGTTTTACAAACATGTTTGGTGCTAAACACTGGCCAGGGGAACTAACAAAGTGGCTGCTGGGAAATAAAGTCAAACAACCTCAAAGAATGAAGTGAACGTCTTTTATTTTGTAGGCACTTCACATTCACACAAAGAACAAAGTGGAACAACTCCAGAGTAAATCACATCCTCTTCATCGGCGTGTTTGAGTGTTTTCTGTATTTACAGGGTAAAACATGTCGCTTTCACATTTCTTGCAGGTTTCTGAAACCTCAGACAGGAAAGACATTTGACCTCCGGTCGGGTCAAACGGAGTGGCAGCCGTGAAGTCCAGACGTTCAGAGTCTGGAAAAGCACAGCAATGGATGTGAGAGGATCAGAGCTGCTGAGGTGAATAAATAAGTGTGATGATAAATCCCAGCAGGATTCTGTTCAGCATTTAACCTCGGCTGCTCTTCTTGTGGAGTTTATTAGGATTATTAACATCAATAGAATTATTAGATTCCTAGAATAGAAGCTCAGCTGAAACGTGTTTAAATTCTGGTTTTAGACGGTACGTGGTTTACGGTGGTTTCACAGTGACCCTCTGACTACAGCACATTTATTCATGTGTAGATTCCCTGACCGTCTCTCTGGAGGCCAGCGGCAGCATGCAACAAGCTCAAAGCCATGAAGACAGAACCAGCAGGACAGGATGAGAACAGAAGCAGGATCGGTGCTACGATCAGGGGAATGACAGAAGACAGAATGTACGAGGTGGAGCAGACTGAGGTGGAGCTTCAGGAGCTCTTGTCGTCGAAGTAGGTCTGTTCGATGCGTCTGCAGAAGGACAGCAGGTTGCTGTAGCTCTTGATCCTCTCGGCCAGCTCGGCGCTGGTCAGTCTGGTGGTCAGGATGGTGAAGAGGTGGCCGAAGACCAGCGCATCCAGCTCCGTGGCTCTGACACACACAGAAACACACAAAGAGACACAATGAAATACACAATAAAGACAGAAAACACACAATCATACACACAGAAAACACAGTCAGTGTTTGTTAAAGATGGAATAAAACATTTAATTAAGTACGTGGTTTGTAAACCTTTTGAAGGAAAGAAAGAAGTTTTGTCATTTTGGTGATTTATCAGCCAGAAACTGTAAAAATAAGTAACTAAAACAGAACAATCTGTGAACCTTCTTCTGTCTGATTTTTAAATTTGCCACAAATAAACTGATTTAATCAGATTCTGTCAAAAACAAAACATTTGTGGCTCCACGACCGAACGTTGAAGCCATTAGTGACTCAGCGGAGGCCAAATGAACAAGAGACAAGAATTCTGAGAGTTTTTAGTCCAAAGTTTTTAGTGCATCTTGATTTAAAATGTGCCAAAAATAAAACGTTAGCATTGACCAGATTCTGTAAAAAGCACAAACATTGTGAGCTGCTCAGTGAAACCATGAAGCTGACTCAGCTGAGACCAACAGTCACAGGTCTACAGTTCTGGGACTTCCAGCTGAACTGGAGCAGGTGACGGACCAGAGTGGACAACTAATGTGAAGAGTTAAATAGCTACAGAACGTTCAGCCTCCGTTTCCTCAGTACTGATAACACCTGGAAAATGTTAGATGTGTTGATTACAGCTTTTATCTTCAGTATTTGTAAAATAAAAACTGAATTTGGTCGCAGTTTATTCACACTTTAGTCTAAATTAACTTGAAAATGGTGCAAATGTCAAGTTGAAATGTAAAGACTGCTGGACTGAGCCTCCAGTGCTCTAAGATTTAACAACACTTCTGGTCATAGAGCACTAATTAACATTATTAATCAACATGCTGGTCAGTAATTAATAAAATGTAGCAGTGAAGCAGAAACTCTGTTGTTCCTGACAATCATGTCTTTAAAATCTTTAGAAAAGAGTCAGAAACAGGATGAACTCTGGTTCTGCTGTTTTGTTTGGAGTCGTGTTAAATATTCTGTTAGTTTCGGGTGAACAGGAAGTCGGTGCAGGTTTGGACCACCAGGTGGCGCTCTGAGCTCTGAGCCTCAGTAGCAGTAACAGATACTTACTGTTTGTTGAAGAAGTACGGCTGAGTTCCCAGCCGCTGAGAGAGAGCCTGACAGCACTGACTCACATCCTCATAAACCTGAAACACACCAGAACAAACGTCTCAAACCGTGATCCACTCATTCTGTCTGTCTAAATGTATATATGATATATTAAGAACTCAAAGGGATGAGCAGCAGCGACTTTAAAAACAACCTTAAACACATTTGGTTTTACAGCATTTCATAAATGAATCCTCTGACCGCGCCAGCAGGTTTGAAAGGAGGGAAATCTTTAAGAAAAAAAAAGTGAAAATAATTTAAATTTACCAGTTCGAAACTGTAAAAACTTTCCTTTCAAAGATGCTTAAACTAATCTGTGACATTTGCGTCACTCTGGAAAAAAATTCTGAGTTTAAAATAATGATAATCAATCCAATGTATTCTACTTTCTGTTAAAACTAAAGACTCTCCCACTCAGCTGTGACTGTGAGCAGCTATGTGGCGAAAATTCAGGGAGTTTTCAGCCAAACTGTCGGCAAAATGATCCAGATCTGAGCTTCAGATCATGACGGTTCACCAACACCTAAAACTATGCATCCTGCCAAAAATAAAATGTTTGCATGAAGCAAAGAAACCAGGAGTGGCTCAGCAGCAGCCAACAGTCATGTGGTAGAAACACAGAGACGTTTTCAGCTGAACTGCAGGCAGTGTTTGCTCAGAGAGGAGACGAGGAGGAAACCAGATAAAAACGTAAACAGTAAAACATCTAAAGTATGTGGCGCCTCCATTTTCTTGTCGGTAACACCTGTGGACTCCTGGAAACATGTTGGGCGTGCTGACTGCAGGTTATTTTCAATTCTAGTAAAATAAATAGTCAAAGAAAGTCAACTGTTGTTTGCCTTTTCATGTGCTCTCTCATCCTGTGTGGCTTTATTCTGGACAAATTTGAACTAATTTTGGATAAATTTTAAATCGTTTTGGACAAATTATACATGCAATTCTGGATATATTTCAAGTCGTGTCTTTGGACGATACATTCAGCATGGTGACACAGCGTTCCACTTAGAAAAACATTCGCCTTCGTTCTGAGTCCTGCTGACAGGAGACATCTCTGAGTTCTCTCTCCTTCATGTCCTCTTGGTTCAGAGGGCTAGAAGGCTAAAAGCTGTGATCTGAAAACATTCCTTCCAGACAGTTAACAACATTAAGTTTTGAATCATTTCATTACTAAAAAGCAGCATCAGAACAGGAAGTCTTTGTGTCAGCATGAAGAGCGTTTGAGCGGCGCCCACCTGCTCCAGCGTTTTCCCTCCCCAGCCGATGGCGTTCATCTTCCTGCGAACCTCCCACTGCTTCTGGTAGGACAGGATGTTACTGAGCGGCCACGAGTACGGGCTGCTGTACCTGGGCCGGGAGATCTGCAGAAAACACACCTGGTGAGACACAGCTGGAGCTGAATGAGCTGAATGAGCTGGTGGCGTCAGAGACCAGAGTACAGACCTCAGCAGCCGTGGCGTCGTCACACCATTGGATGTAGAGCTGAGGAGGAGGAACAGGAA